GCTTCTCCCCAGTGGCCTCCCCTGCATTCTGAATATGGAAGATAGAAAATGTGATTTAGAGAAGGTTTAAAGACTCTGTAAGAAACCAAAAGAGAGAGCACCAAGTGCAGATGCGTGATCTCCATCAGTGAAGCCAGAGCTGGATGCACACTGTTTGCTTCTAATTGATGAATTTAGATTGGGGGAGGGGAACAGGGGGAGGGCTGTTTTTGCTTTTGGCTGGGAAAGGCCTCCTAGTTCAATTTGGAGGAATTCAGATTTCTTTTATTAAAAGTGAAGCTGTGTGATGTTAATGAGTAGTTTACTTTTCCTAAATCGTCCTCTCATCATACCAGTGTTATCAGTGCAATCTGGTTATGATTCACATAAATTGTGGCTTAACAATTCAGACTGCTAGGAGTGGGCTGGCCGATTAGCTCAGTTGGTTAGAGTGTGGTGTTATGACATGAAGGTCAAGGTTCAGGCCCCTGTACTGGCCAGCCACAGGAAAAAAACCCCACCAAAACCAAAAACAAACTGCTCATTTTAGAGCCTCAAATACTGTACTGAACTAAATTAAGTAGTGTGGATTGTTGGCATTGTGACAGGTCCTTTGTCATTTTTCAGAAAACATTTTTACTCATTGAGGTCAATTTGGAACAGTTGAAAAAATATAGGAAAATAAGGTAAATACATACATGTTTTAGTGTGAGAGGGGAGGATAAAATGAACGTTGCAAGCTGGCTGTTAGCTTATAGTAGCAATGTTAGCAGCAGCAGCAACATACCAGCCTATTGCGCAACAGATCCTGATGCTTTGGAGAGATACTAGCATCTCTGGTGAGTCAGATGCACACTTGGGTGCTTCAGGAGTTGGGCTTGTGAGCTGATAGTTTAGCAAGAAGAAGCTCAGACTTGCAAGCAGCTGTGATGTGTGCAAAGCAAGGTGGCATTGGACCGCACTGAGCACAGCTGCTCAGAAATGGGAAGCTAGTTTTGCTTGTGATTCTTTACATTACAAAGTTTACTTTCCTCTTTGTTTCCTTCTCAGGGTCTACTGGAGTAGAAACTGCAGATTAGTTTCAATAGAGAATGTTCCTAGAATTCTTAAATACTTATGCTATAAAGAATTCTCTGTTAGGGCCGGCCCGGTGGCGTACTGGAGAGTGTGCCGCTTGAGAGCATGGAGGCGCTACCGCCAAGGGTTCGGATCCCATGTGGAGACCAGTTCCTGCTCACTGGCTGAGCGCGGTGCGGGCGCAACACCAAGGGTTGCGATCCCGTTGCCGGTCCCCGGTACGGGCACAACACCGAGGGTTGCGATCCCGTTACCGGTCAGTAAAAAAGACAAAAAGGAAAAAAAAAAAAAGAATTCTCTGTTACTGCACTTAAATGTATTGTGGAGGAGGCAGAAGGGCCCTTGTTTTTGGCATTCAGAGGATAGTTCTTACCTGAGAGAGCACTGTGGACAGACTGAGAGGAAGTGTCCCCTGGAATGCAAGTGATTTTGCAAAGTTCAGGCAGATACCACCATCAGAAACTGATGTTTTCTGCTGTCTTTCTCACCCATCTCTAGAGCATCCAGTCCAGAAATGGCCAGCATATTTATGGGGGACATTGTTGATATCAGTCTATCTCTTAGAGCATTGTTTCTGCCTTTTTTGATGGTAAAGCACAATAAAGCATGTTACATTACAACCCCGAGTACACACATATGTAAAACTCAAAGTTTCACAAAATGATACTTGGACATAACTACTTTCAGCATACTCTGCCACTCTTTTCTTTTTTCTCCCTTTTTCTTTAATGCTGGTTGTGGCTTCCTAAGTGGTATGTGCAGTTTTAAAATCTATGCCCTAAGTGATAAAGTGCTACCAATGCAGATTATCTTTGGACAAAGTTTCAGTGAGGTTTGGTCTAATCTCCAGCCTTCCTTGGATGTTTCTCATGCCTGGTTTTTGCAGTTATCATAGGGATGGGAAATATAGCTGGATCTGAAAATCCTGAAGTTGGGAAGGAGGTATCAGAGCCTGCAGGATGTTCAGTATGCACAGTTGGTTTTATATTAGGGGTCAAGGGTGGGGGGACTTGAGGACAGGTCTTTGAGCACAAAGCAGGGCCTTTGCCCTGGGGCTTGTGATGTGGGCACAGTGTGCTTGTGACCTAGCCTGCTCTCGGTGGAGCTTACATCGCCTTCCCTCTGTCAGTCCTGTCCAAAGCCCAGTAGAGTGATATGCCACCCCAGGGGGAGAGAGCCTACTTCTCCAGGCAAGGAAGTGTTTCACTTATGGTGAGCACTGGGGCCAGAATTTTTGAGGAAGGAGGTGCTGTTTCCTAGTGAGGGAAGGAAAGAGAGGGCATGGGATAGGCAACTGTGGCATAGATCTCATCCAAGGTGGTCTCTGGCTGGGCATCCTGACCCCAAGTTCTTCCTGAATAACCAGTACTTAGAGTGAAGGGTGGCTCCACCCCAGCATGGTTCTTTGCACCAATATTTGGTGAATGCCTACTAGATGTTAGATGCTGACCTGGATGCTGAGAGTAGGGTGTCCATGACATTGTGCTTAAAAAGTCTCAGTACGGGGTGTGGCAATCCAGATGAGAAACATCCCTGAGGGAGTAGGGTGACCAGGCTGCCCAGAGAAGGATGCCTATGGAACTTAGGATGAGTAGACTTTATATTAGCAATGGAGGTAGGGCATGCCAGGCCACAGGGCTGCTCGTGTAAAGGCCGGAGTGTATGAGATGGTAAGTGTGGCTGTGTTTTCAACCAATAATCTGGTTTTGTCAAATGATGTGATAAAGGCAGATTCTAAAGGGTTGTGCATGCCATGCTAAATCATAACCTAGACTTCATCTTGTCACTAACTAATGCAGAGGCTCTTAGATAGCTAAGTTGAGCTCAGTTAGTCTCAGGATTAAATCTGAGTTTTAGGAAGGTTCCTGTCTGTAGAGTGGAAGATGGGTTGTCCAGGGGATCACTTTGTCTGCTGCACTAGTCCAGGTGAGAACTGATGATGATAACATGAAGTGGGGAAAAGAGACTTAGAAGAAGTGATTCATAGGATTAAACAATGGGATATGGAAATGGAGGAAAAGAAAGACTGAGAAATCTGGCATAGATGAGTGAAGTACAATCAGGCACAAATAAAGAGAAAATGGGAACAGTAGGTTTTAGTGGAGAAGGTGGTAGAATGGGTTAGAAATGGCATTTGAGTAAGC